GGATCAGTTTTCTAGAACTTTTGATGGACCTCGTTAAGGGCTGTGGATGCAGGCCCGTTTCAACAGAAAAATATCGCAGGAAAAGAGGTAATGCAGAAAGGAGTCAATGGCGCGTATCTATAGTTGTATTCAGCTGTAGTATCAGGATATACAGTGCGTAAGCGGAGGATAGTGCACATCGGAAATTGCGTCATGTCGTATGCGATCTCGTGATAGAGAGCAAGAAAAGAAACAGGACTTTAACAGACAAAAGGGAATGGTGTTTAAAATGCAAAATATTGTTACTGTGAGCTAACAATTTCACTCGGCTGAAAGGAGTACGCGTACACCTGCGAGATGGCCGATAACGGCCAGTGGATTAACAGAACCAGTTATAACACACAAGACGAAATACTATCGGCTTGTCACTTTTCTTTATTCTGGTCTGCACGAAGACCATTCTGGAAATCACTCATCAATCGTTCCTTCGGAGATTTCAGAATGAAATGATATGTCCTCTAAATTCTCCTCAATAAAGATTCTTGGAGGTGTCGTTTTCATGTACATTTAGCATGTCTGTCTTTCAAGAACGAACTATGATGTGTTGTCAACCTTAGATCTATGAAAACAAAAAGCCATTTTCCTTATCTGTTTAAGCAATATCTCATGTTAGCCAGTTTGATCAACAAAAATTACAAGTAAGGACGAAAGCGTTTATTTACATCTTAGTGTAAGACAGATAAGAACAATGACGAAAACCATAGTCCATATGATGAGAATTCATGCTGAATCCGGCTTCGTTGCAGGCGACCACGTGTTCGTTAACCGCAGGTTCGACACATTTGATAACAGAGACATACCAGCGGTTCGCTCCAGATTGGCTCTCGCAGCAGACAAAACATTATTTGTTTCAGTTACTAAAAACAAGTGGTAGCGAACAGGATAGAGCAATAAAAACTCCGAGGGCAGACAAACAGCATTATGTACATGGCAACGGACAGCAGCTCTGTTCAAAACGTTAACCCTGAAATTCAGTACTCTAGTTTCGGTAGGCGTCTCGCTAATCTATCGGGGAAAGTAATACTGCAAAGTTAATCCGAACAAATGAGCACACAATCAATAACTGCTGTGTAGAGGTTCCGGTTGCCTAATGATTGCAAATCAAACAGGGGTGCTTAGGACTCCCCAATGAAGAAGTTAAACGCAACTAAATTAATGTGATTCATTCCATAAGTTGACTGTCGTAATCTATCGTCTATTCCGTCAAATTATGCGATGTAGTCTGATGAAGACTAAGTCTATGCCCAACGGAGCTAATCAGTATTGAGCTTATTGTGGCGTTGGCACCATGCTGGTCTACAAGCCGGTGCTATATACATAAGTAGTTTGCGAATGACTGGACAAAATTTCCCTGGAAGCACACGACCGGTTTCGCGGTTCTTGCCGCTCGCCAGGCATGCATATCCGGTAGTCTTTTGCCAGTTGATTCATATGCTTGTATCCAGCAAGTGTATTTTCGTCACAATAACCTTGTGTGCAACACCGGGTGGTCATTGGATAGACAGCTCTTTCAAAGCTAGTCCAATGAAGGATCAATGCTGATTCGATGTTTTGTAAGTGGGTTAGATACTACGAACAACAAACGCATACATGTATATGACAATTTTGTATACAACGGTGTTGGTTGTTTTGTAACTTGATGTTCAGTTGTTCGCCGCGCTGTTGTATTTCAAACGTTTCATCATCAATCGAAATGACATTCTCAATGCAGTTACGGCATTGCTAAGAATAACGCTTACACTCCTTGGTCATTGTGTCCAATCCTTGGGCCAAATCACGATACCGCTGATAATACCGTTTTGCATGAGAATTTGGCTTCCGCTCTTTTGATCTGGGCGCAACTAGCGAGCCTGGGTCATTTTCTTTATCACCAGTAGAATCCAAATGTGGTGAACGGTCAGTAGATGACGGTGATGCACCGCTCCCTAGGTTAAGCATTTTAATCACACTGCGCAGATCTGCAATCACCTCGCGTGCAGTGACATCGTCAGTAACCTGGACAGAGGGCAAATACAATGAAAATAAACGAAAAGAAGCAGGAGAGAGAACGACAGATTACACGCGGTTGTGCACAAGAATTGACCTAGATCACAGCTAAAGAAGAATTTATTCTCCATTTTCAACTAAATGAACTATGACCATAGTTTAATAGGTACAAAATCCGACTCCGATTTGTGCAAGCGTAGGGGTGGAGTATTAAGTAAAGGCCGCCCTAATCAAAACTGCGTTGTTAAAAATCATATGAGCAATGATTCGATAATAAAAAAACACAATATTGGGATAGAAAATACATATTATTAATAAGAGTAAAAACAAGATGAACTTTCAAAACTACATAAAAGAGATCGCAGGCAAGATCCACCTGTAGGTCACAACTAAAAATAAACGTGTCGAAAATCCCACTTTTCGTAGGACGTATATACGTTTATATGAGTGTACTGAAATTGTTCAAAAAGGAAGTATGAACAATAAAACGGCCAAATCTTTGAAATAAGTTCCATTAAACAAAGTTTCGGGTGGGGGCCGTTTCGTAACAGTTCGCCCAACCAGGAACCTTGGTAGTCCCCGCCAAGTCACTGCACGTTCGAAATGAACATTAAGGAAAAATAAAGGGCAGTTTAGAACATTCTGTAACATTTGATTTTACACACTCGACAAATAAAGTTGTTCATCGTTTTGTATACGTTTTCACTCTCGGAGCCGTAAGTGATTTCGCAGTTTCTAGTTTGAAATAAGAGATTCTCGCGCTCACGAGGTGTACCGTTTTACTGTTTATCGCATAACAGAAGAGAACAATATCACATGCAAACAGAGTTTCCTCAGCGTAAACACCTTATTGGACAGAGCCCCAAGTTTCGGACTTTTCCCCTGGGATCACTGAGTGAGTAGAATTTATGCGTATTTCCACAGGTCTGGTAGTAGGTGGTAACATGATTAACCGAACATAGGTTATACTTAAGCTCCAACGTTAACAGTAATGAGATGTCAATCGAGATGAAGAATTATTAATAATAATTACTTTTAGCTAGGAAAAATTACGAATGCAAGCAAAAAATGACATACCTCAAGACCTCTGAAGAAAGCTTTAGTTCGACGATGAATTCGCAATAACAACTCCAAGGAGCGCTTGACATACACTTGTAATTCATCTAAATAAATAATGAGTGATGAAATAGATAAACATGCGAGCATCTCAAGGAATAAATAAAATTTGCTTTAACAATTGAAGTAAGAGGTTCTATAACTGAAAACTTTGCTCGAATATATGACGATGCATCGGTTTCACTGATATCTCTGATAGTAACCAACCATAAGTGGTGCACAATGTTCAACGCTGAATGAAAGCTAGTTCTGATCCTAGCTTTGAAGATATTGAACAGCCTTCAGACCCGTGTGCATCGACAACGACGCATTAGGGACATTACTGGTATTGGTTAACGTATTCATTGTTATATATTAGCATTGCTACGTATGACTGAAAACGAGCTGTTCGGTCACTTTGTTTGTCCTCTATGTGAGTTTCATTCATTACATGCGTCGCCTATACCATAACTGGTCAGTATGTATTGTCATATTGAGCGAGACCATTTTTACTTGAGGCAGGATTGTTTAATCACGTTAGAATGAATGAAGTACTCGCTTGATCACTGCATTGAATAAAAGGAATCACAGAGGTATTCCAAGTAAAAGGTTCACAAACCTCCAGGTGTGAACAGTGCATCCGTATCCGACGGAGTGGAAGGATTGTAAAATTTGACAACCGCACCGCAGATCTGATCCATTTCATTTGCATAGTGTTTGAGTCGTGAACGAGCGTGGTGAAGAGACTATAGAATTTGGATGAGAGAAGGTGGACGGGTTTGTGAATTGGGAGAATAATATAATAACCAAACAGAGCGCAGGTAATCCCAATGGGACTGATTCACGACACTAACCATACACCCTTTATATGACAGCAACGTTAGTTTTACGCGCAATGTAGAAGCAACAGGTGAACTGTTGTTATGGTTAGGTTTTAATTCACAGTCTGGTACAGTTATTATGTTTGTGTGCCACAATTAAAGGGAAACAATCGGAAGGATTACGAATTGGAAATGCAGAAAACGAACACATTTCAGAAGTTGATGTCTGACACCAGGTTCAGCGCCGAAAACGAATCTGAGCCGTGTCTGAGAACGTCTTTATCAAAAGTAACTCATCACTTTTAGCCCGCCAGTTGCTGTCACATGCAACCTTTGCTAGAATGAAGTCCAGCTCGCTGCTTTTTCACATTCGGAAGTCAGGCTTCAAAGGCAGATAGGTGGCGGACTCTGACGCCCCTGGAATGAAATAAGTGCCTCGATGGCTGAGGCATTTCGTATGGCGCTTCTTTAGTGTATTGGGATAATGGTGGTTGTCCTGTCAGGATCCTGACACGAAGAAAGGTTAGTTAATTTACTGCTTCCAGGTCTTCATCCATTTTTATTACACACATTTGTGTGATGAACAGTAGACGGGGCAAACCCCAAAGTCCAGAAGACATGCTGCTCCATCATGGAAACTGGTAACCTAAGCCCCGGGACTTGGAGTGGCGAACCACATAAGGCCCCATTAAGTTAGGTGTGGTACTGAACCGAACGACAGCAAAGATGCAAAACACAAAAGATGGCTGGCGATGGCGGCACTCGAACCTTGGACCAAGAGCAGGTCGGTTTACAGTTAAATCAATAATGACTAGGGATGCAAATCTATCGACACGAGAGCTACCCGTTGGGAACTATTTTGTAGATGTAAGGACATTTCGGTCATTGATAATATTTCACAGAACTGTTGTTTTTCCCGCGATACTCAGAGGGCAGCTGGGATATCAAAAACAGAAAAGACGATTCGAGGAGCGTTTTGAAGTACGATCGAGCTCAAAACGAAATAATTGCTCAGGAATCCCATTAACCGATACCAGTAAAAGCGATTCGGAATAAAAATACCAATGTTTGCGGAGTTCGAACTTACCAGAAGTACTACAAGCTCGTGTGGTGGCCGAATGGTAAATTTCATAAAGTTATTGTCCCGGATAATGTGTTCGAATCCCACCACCACTGCCTAAATTTCCCCAATCTGCCTTGGATAGCAGTCCTTTAATTAGTGTTTTCCCCTTCCCGAAAATCGGGTCATTATATATTGAAAAAAATAATTATACCCTAAAATTACCAGAAAAACACAAAAATAAAATTAAAAAAGCATAACGAAAAAATTACCGCCAAAATAAACCATACGGAAAAATCACTAGAAATAGAGCTCTTAGCGAGGAGGGAGAGTGAAGGTACATGGAACAATTATGAAACAAACCTTGACCATTGACCGAAGATCCTCTCGACTGTTGTTCATAGAGAACGGAACTGGGCCAACCATAGAAACATTCTGGGCTAGATTGGAAGTGCTGAACGAGCGTAAACCGGGTACCGGTCGATCTGAACTGTCACGAATCACCGATGAGTGAGCCGATTGGGCATCAAATGCGTCTAAAGTGGCTAACAGTGAATATTCCTCTCGCAAATCGACATCCACACGCCGTTGAAGCTCAGCGGTGAGGCGTTTCATACCCAAAACTAGACTATGCAGTTTTTCGCATTGTCTACAAGATAGAAACATTGGAGGAGTGTAGGGCATAACAATTTCCGAAAATGCATGGAAAAAGAATAATGGAGTGCAAGCGAGAAGACTGATGAGAACATACTGTCCAGTTCACATTGCGCAGTATTTTTACTGATACTGTGATGCTAAAAACTGCTTTGGACCATAAGCATTACGCGTGTACAATAAATCAAAGGAAAAATATATAGATTCCGTTTAGGAAGGTGAAAAGCCATAAGATGGTGTACCTAACAGAAAAAGCGACGGGTGCACAGCTTTGGAAAAACGAGTGCATCATTCTTATCCGAAAATTGGTGATATTTCAATCGAGCGACACGAGTGCGAAACCCTGCTAAAATGTAGATCCAAAACCGCTTTGGACCCGTCTATTGTTCAATGGTGAAAGAGGACAACCAAAATTTTGAACTGCACGGATTGAGAAAACTGGACTGAGTGAATCAATAGTTGCAGCCCGTAATTTGCGTTTGTTTCATAAATATCGATGAGTGGCGCAACTGGAGTGAGCGATTGAACATTAGAGAGTAAAACCCTACTGACTAAAAAGCATCGAGAACCACCGAAATTGTTGCCACGTAGATCATTGTATGCCCATTAGAATCACCAGACTGTTGTAGCATCAGCGTGGTGCCACCTATTTCGATAGTAGAACTACGAAATTATGACGATACACGAGAAAAAAAATGCGGCTCAACGGAAAAGTTTCCGGTTTGATTGTGTGTGAAAAATCCATTCAGTGTGCACTGACAACAGAACAAGTGGCTGATTAAAGAACCTGAAGGAACTCATTTTACTATCAACACACATAAGTGTCGTCAACGATACTGAGCAAGAAACGAGCTGGAGGGTAGCTTACTTGCAGCATCCACCGGTTACCTCTGGACCCCGAACATCCACAACTGGATCGACTTTCGGTTTTTCCGCACGATTTGAGGTGGTCTTGTCAAGGAGCAGACTGGTTGAATCAGAACGCGTGACTAAATCAGTATCGGCATTGGTGTCATCGATGAAGGGTGTGTTCGGACACTGAAGAAGCGATGCAGCCGTGGATCCCATCAACATCGGGTTTGGAGTGAGATGTGTCGACGGAGGCACAGTGGACCGATATTGAGCGCCACGAGGTTGCTCCACTTCGGAAAGTGTTCTGGAAAATTGTTTAGAAAAGAAACGTAAAACGAAGTATACTTAAACCTGAATCTGGAAAATAGAATTTTGATACTAGATTTACTGTGATGCGCTGCGTACAAACCATGTATCAAAGAAAATTCAGTAATTATTGTTTAGTTTAAGTCTCACCAAGGCTACTCCAGTTCAGTTACTTGTTGACTCATTTTCACGCAAAACAATACTCTAATCATCCGAAAAGGGTGTTTACGTAGAGGATGGATAGATTCACTGACTGGATATGATGTGGAATGACAGTACCTCGGGATGCGAATGCTGATGTGTTTAGCGAGCTGGGAGTGTTGTTTGCAGACGTTTTGTGGAGAGGTTAGGCAACTTCGGGACAGTCGTCTGCGACCAACACTACCAGCTAGGAGAACACCCCAACAGTTTAGTGGATCGATAAAACAAAGAAAATTGGATAGAATTTCATAGAAGTAAACTGAATTCCGGTGCCTCAAATGTTTATTATTCACATTTTTAATCGCATACAACACGGTCACGAATAGATCACAACGACCATGAGGATCCTCGAATGGTCGTTCATGGGAAGAACTATTAAACTTTAAACGCGTATATTTTCGTTTGTATGAAAGGGTGAGTTGTCGGTAAGAGTTCCAGGTGGAGGTAGAATTGTTCTTACCGTGCGGAAGATCGTGTATGACGTGCACTAGATACAGGTTGTCCATTAGCCCTGGTGGCCTTCAACTGGGCAAGTTCCGCTTCCAATGCGTGAATTCGTTTGTTCTTTCGAATCGCCTGGGGATAACAGCAAATCCAAATAGTATTTCGGAATATTGAAATGAAGTCAAATTTGCTGATCGACATCAACCAGCCAAATACACAAAAGAAACGGTGAAAACCACAATCATGGATAGTGCATCCATCCGAGTATTTCCCAAGTTAGGGAGTGGGCGATTATAATTTTGAAAGTAAAAACTCTATGCACACTTAAAGGCGCATGTTTCTGTTTACAACAGCAAAATAATGTCATATCAATGAGTTTCATGACACCCTCCAAAATGCCAATCATGATCACGACGAATGTATTCAGCCGAAAACTAATCGAAGTTACGACTGTTTTTAGTACTTGATGAATTTGCGATGATATTTATAACAGCTGAATCCTTTAACGGAATTAGCTAAACCTGTTATACATCATCCGACATTCAAAGATTTGCGATATATCTCAACTACCTTTAATCCAGAGCGTCAAAACCACCTTAAAAAACGATATGCGTTAGGTAATGGCATTTTGTGTCAAAAATTCAAATTCAAAATATTTAGGCACGAGAACACAGATAACCAAACCAATAGGGGTTCAGTGCACCAAACTTGCCAGTGAGTTCATTTTTAATCGACAGCCATGAACAAGTTCCTTCCTTTTACTATTCGATAATGAAGGAGATTGATGCAAAAGGCGACAAGCAGAAATACATATTCCGTGTCCTACGCCACCAAATCTATTCGTGTGAAATGACACACACAGAGCGAGTTTCATCGTACACAACAAGAACACACCTGTTTTCGAAGATCTTCGACCTCTTCCAGAATTCTGCTCGCGTGTTCTTTATCTTGCTGAATAACACTTCTTAGACGGGCAACCTCAGTAAGGGCTGACTCCAACTTGCTAAGAAGTAAAAAACGAGAAAGGCAAAATAGACAATAGGGTGTTTGTACAACATGATCAAAGTAAAAAACATACACAGAGATAGTGAAGCTTGCACAACTCCAATTCTAATACAAACATGAAGGGATTTCAGTCTCAGAGTCTACAGCCATTAACCGCGCCACGGTTGATTAGTGCCTTTTGGTACAATGTAATAGGTTACTTGCATGTTAAGTCACGGTAGGCAAATAATGTCCGTCTATGAAACCGGTTACGTTGTGGTTCGTAATGCATCCAAAAACAACCCTTCAATCAGCCATAAGTTTCATTTCCGAAAGGACCGATGGTATTGGGCTTTATTTACACATTATCCGTACATCAACAACACTTTTCGGATTATCGGTTCCAAAAATAATGATCATTTCTATATTCATTTTATCGTGCGTTTTGTGCCATAGGATCGACTGTTCCCCTGTTATGATCCCCGGTTTGTTGTCTGAGAATTTCACATTGATCGGACGCTCTCTGAAAAGCATCTTTAGAAACGCAACTGTTCCTTATGTGGCTCAGATCGACTCCATTGTCAACCAACACCTTAGGGTGTATGACTCTTGCCGCTTACGCTCAACCCTCTCTAGCTCCATTTCCACTTGTCACCCGCAATAAATTTAAACCTCGGTACACTTGCATCACAGCATTTTAAAATTCAGGTGTACCTCATCTTTCCTAGCTAACTGGTTTCCAAAGGATGAACATCCGAAGAACTTATACATTTTCATGCTGCGATTTTCTACTTTTGCTGAGTGTTCTCGCTTGTCATCATCATTGTCTATTTACTAAATGCCATATCTGCAAATCCATTCTAAAAGCATGTATGCCAAAGCAAACGTGTGGCGCAATTCACATGGGTCGCACCACCAGACACCTGACCGATCGAATAAAACACCACCCTACTTGGCTCAGTCGGGGACTGATAAAGGCAGGGGCGAGTACGGTTGCTATACATCTGGCCGAGACGAATCACATCGTGGATGTGTGGGAATCGTTCTGTGCAATCTGTTCACTGACGGGGACCTGGTCTAAGGATATGAAAGCCCGATTGTTATCTACAGCAGAGACGATAGCAATAAGAATAAACAAACTTCCATTAGGTGCACACAAACAGTTCGTTAAATCCCTTTCCCTTCCGTTGTCATGTCCGAAGTGCCCCTACCCAACACTTCAGTCGAATATTCACACTCCGCAAGGGATTATCACCCATCACGTGGTCAGTGCTGAAACAGCTCTCTCCCTCTAAACTCCTGAACGTCCATTTTGCACATACCCAAACCCCGATTTGACTGTCTCCTCGTGTTATTTCCCTGAGTTGTATAATGTGCTGTAATTGGCCAGTAGATAAAGCACTGAAACCAAGCTTGTTCGCCGCATCTCTGTTTTTCAAATGAATTTATCGGAATTATTCTCTCAAAAGTGATAACATTTATCACTGAAAATTCTGTCCACAATGAATGAATAAAGTTCACACTTAACTTGGTTCGACAATGATTCTATCTAACCACATTTTCCTAGGATAATCCCGGCTCGCCCACATTGAGAATCGCGTGGCGCGTTCCCAAAGAGCTAAACCACCAGATTATGGTGACCTCAGCTGTAGTGACTATAAAGAAGGATGACTGCTTCGGTGGTTTTGCTTACTCTTTGGCTAATTGCTCCTACATAAGGATGAGACACCTCATGGAAGAATCAGGGAAACATATCACAAGGAGACACTCTATATCAGTCGGCGAACAGTCACCTTCTGTTGCGGTAACAACGGAACGGATGATGATGGTAAAACGGCTTCAATCTTTGTCACTGGAATGCTTACAGGTTCGAAACCTGACACTGACAGCCAGCTGTCGGGATAGACAGCTTCACTGTCATGGGTGGGTTAAGTAGTCAATTTGAACAGCTGAACATTCGACCTCCCAAAACACCACCAGAATGTGATACCTATAAGATCCTTCACTCAAGTCGGTGGTGCAGTGCAGTTTATATGTCGGAACGATCCTGTTGAATAGATTACAAGATGAGGACCCCAGCTTCCGACAGCCGTATTAATCAACGTGCGACGGCATGTCTTGTGTCATTAACCTCACAGAAAGAAAAAAATGTAATTCGAGCTTAAATACTTAGGTAACAGAATGAACACCAGAAACAGGTTTCGAGATAGCATACGACATTTGAATGATGAAGAGTTGATTCAACAATTACAACAAGGACTTACTCAGTCCGTCTAACGAGCTTCTCCTTAATTTCAAATGCCACTGCCTTTAACTCGCCGTATTTACGAATTCGCGTTTGGTTGAGTTCAACTGAAGCTGGGCGCAGAGTAGCAACAGCATCCATTTCATCACCGGTAGCAGACATCACAACGGGTGACGTTTGTGCATTGATCAACTCTAACTGAGCAGGACATTTACGGTGTTCCTCACGTAAGCACTCCAAATGCGACGCCAACTCATTCGCACGACGCTCTTGAGCTTTGGCTGTTTCTGAGGACGCTTTTGCCGATTCAATATGTAGAGCAATCGAGTCACGTAAATGACCAATTTCCCGCTCAGCCTCATGCAACTTTTCGCCGATCTTTTGCAACTCTCCTTCACGTTGACTAAGTTTTGCACTGAGCTGCTCCTGTTGACTTCGAGTGGATTCCAGCTCCTCAACAAGACGAGTATTGGATTGGTTATGTTCGGTGGTAATGGCTTCGAGTTTGCTAGTGAAATCTAAGTTTAATGACTCACGGAGCGCGGTCAAGGCTGCTTCGTGATCTCGCTGAGCTTGGGAAGAGTTCTCTTCCATTTCCTCCATCATTTTGGCTACTTGATCCCTAAGTTTCTGGCATTCAGAGAGGACAAGCTCATATTCGGAATGCAGTCGATTCATGGACGATGTGATTGCTGAGAATTCATCACAAATGTGCCCTATTTGTTCAACCCAATTCTCTGCCGTCAATGTACGAGCCGTCTTTGCCGCAACCATGGCAATAATTTCAGCTCGTTCTTTATCGTATACAGTATTTTTACTCTGAATATCCGCTAACTCTTGCTCCAAAAACTGTACGCGTTCATTCTTACTTTTATAGGTCTCGCATGGTACCCAAGACTTCATTACGTCGTCCAAATGGGATTCAACAGAGCGAAGTTCATTTTTGGCATCGGCGAGCTCTTCATTTACACGGTCAAGTTCCAGTTTCAGAACTTCGAAATCGTTAATGGGAACCGTTTGGCGCAGAGATTCTTCCGTTTGCTCACATAATAGACCCAACCGGTTAATCTCATCCTGTTTCTCGGTCAGACAGGTTAGGCAAGCTTGTACGTAGCCACACAGTGTGTTCGGATCGTGTACGGTAGCCAGATTCATACTGCGCAGTAAATCCAGTGCTTGCTCCTTCTCAGCAACCTCTCGAGCCAAATCGCTTCCAATGGATTTCCACTTCTGTCTGATGACTTCAACAAACCCCGTAAGAGTGCCGGGATCGGGAACTGATGAAATTTCCCGAAGTAAGGAATAGGCGACTTGTTGCTCATGAGTTAGTTGATCCACCGCGTCACGTAGCTCATGCAACTCAGCTACCAAAAGCTCAGTGATTGTTAAACCTGGTTGCTCAGATTGTTCCGGGAATTCTGTTAGGAGCAACTGTTCGATTTGGTTCAAACGATCATCACGGACCGCCAACTGAGCACTCACAGATTCAAATTCAGATTGGAGCAGACTAAATCGGTGCTGAATGTCGGCAAAATCTACCTTGGATACGGTTTCTTCCAATTTTTTTGTGAATTCACATTTTTCTTGCCTCAATTCTTTTAACGCAGTGCGCGTGGACACGAGTTCCGAAAAACAAGCGTCCACACAGTCACAAAAATCACCGGACTCACAATACATACCCAGTTCCCGAAATTCATTCAAGAAGTGATTCAGTTTGCTTTCCGTCTGATCAATAATTTTATCTCGATCAGATAGATCCGAACGTAATGCAGACACGAGTTTCTCTAGATAACGATGATCTTCAGATGGAACAGAATCCTGAAGACGACGTTTCAACTCTAAATGTTCATCGTGAAGGCGGTTCCAAGCCACTGCCAATTCGGTGAGAGATGTGCCGACTGATTCCGGAAGCAAACCTAATAGTTCTTGTCGTTCCCGTTCCAAACAAGAAACCCGATCCTGTGCGCTGCTAAGTTGTTCAGCCATTTGACTTAATTCTTCAAGATGTTTTGCTGCGGAGTCCTGCACCGCTTGATATGACACATGCGAGAGACTCATAGGTTTAGATGTGTCAAGTGATTGCGACAGTGGGTGGGTCTCGTTTGATTTATTCTTGCACAATGCAGTTCCGACTGAAAACTGAACGGAATACATAACGAGTTGAATAAAGTTCGCGTGGGTTGAAGTGACAAAATGAAAGTGCATTATTGACAAGATGATCAATGATGAACGGCACTGACAGTTTCCTTGGGTAACAAACAACCTAAAACATGTTAACATACATGAGGTCAACTGACACGATCGCATCATTTGTGCGCTCCCAGTTTAAGTGGATTTACTTCGCCAAAACACGTCACACAG